TTTTCTGGATCTAATCTGATTTTTGTCTGTCTTTATTTGCCAAAAAAGATAAACCCTGCCAGGGAAAACCTACCTTCCCTTATCCTTATACTAACAAGAAAACAAATGGTCTGTTTCAAATATCAAACACTTAAAATGTAGAATCTTTCTTCTATGATGTGTTTGGGAGTTTGATATTTCCAAGCTGTCATACTTGCAATTATAACTGATCAAAGTTGTTCCTGGTTAAGCATCTTGTACTTTACCAAGTCCTACACCGAGAGCTTCACCAAAATCAATGCACTAGCTCTATTCATACTTCACTCAACTGGGAGAGGTTTATTTACTAAAATGTCTGTGTAGAGGTGTCCAAAGTATATTTTACATTTTTTTTTTTTTTTTACTGATACCGAAAGTCTTCTGGAATTCTGTCACTCTATAGTGGTAATTTCTTTTAATAGTCTCTAATATTACACTACACTACAATACTACAGCATTATTAGTCTTATCTTTTTAGGCTCTTGTTTAGCACAGTCTTTAAGCATAAGCTTACCTTTAAGCCTTTCCCTTGGATTACTTTAGTTCATACTTTAAGGTGCCTTACTTTCATGCCTTGCTGGATGGGGGACATAGTCAACAACACTGAAAAAATGCACTCAGCTAAAAACTATCATGTAATCATTACATTTATGCTGCTCAGCCTGCCACAGACACTAGTTCCCATTAAAATGACAGCATTTACTATGCATTACTCTAAGCAATATACTGAAAATTCATACCCATTTGCAACTCTAATACATTAAAGTGCCCCAAATACCATTTTGCCAGTGCTATTGGCAGTTGCTTTTTAATAGTGATATTCACATATGAGGATTATCAGCTAACTAGCAAATTCGGAGTTCAAGTAGGTGTTCAGAGTAGCAGTAAAGGAACTGGACAAGACAAACAGGAGTCCAGAAAACAGGAAATACACCTTCACAAGACAGTAAATACACCTTCATCATAGTTAGTGTGGCACCCTTGCTTTAAAGGTTGTGTTCTCCTCCCAACACAAAATGTTCTAAGCAGCTCTAAACATCCATGTGTTTTACACTACAATACATTGTCTTACCTGCTTGGATCTCTTTTGTGTTGTCCCAAATCAACGTTACCATCCCTACACAAACTACTTGTGTTTACCCAAATGTAGTTCTTGTCTCCCCAGCTGTATGATCCTAGATTTCTGTTCAATAATGGCATCAGCCATTTACTTGGGCATGCTCTTATTTTATTGAGGTCACTCTAGACGTTTTCCTCTGCTCTCTATAGTTGCATTAACAGCTTCCTTCCTATTTTTAAATCAGCAGCTAATTTCAGCAACTAAGTGCTTATTGTTTCTTCAGGGTCACTCATAAAACAAACACCATTATTGATCTTTCTGAACCTACCACTAGTTTTTCCCTTTTATCTCATCTGAGTGACTATTCAAGGGGCAATTTCTCAATAAACCAGGACATCTATCCTAGATAAACTAGGGTATCTGAAGAAGGAGATTTTTCTGTCTATGTGTGCTAATATAGCTCCCATCATGGCAGTAGCCAAGCAACTCAAAAATGTTAGTGATTTTGTCTCCATAACACCTTGTTAAAGGGAAAAGTGATATAATTGTCTTTTACAAACAGGGAACTAAGACACAGAGGGATTTAGTGTTTCAAAGGCAAAGCCTACTCATGAAACGTAGAATGAATTGAATCCTTATTTCCTCTATTTTAACCACAACAGCATCTTCGCTCTATTTTTCATGTATCCCGGATGCAAAATTACTTATTTGTTGGATTACAGTGACTGATGACCTGGCCAGTGGTTATTTATTCTGCATTTTTGGTAAGTATCTGAAGACAACTGACATCACAGGCTAACATAAGAAACGTGTTAAACCAAGCTGCTGCCAGTATTTTATCTACTACTATTATTAAGCCTCAATACAATTCTTGGGGCCTAAGCCCTAAACCTTTTCATTGTCCTCCAGTTAAGCTAATGGAAATTTTGGCTTTGCCCAAGAAAACATGATACCAAAATGCAAAGTAGTCCTTTCAGGTAATAAGACCTAACTGACATCTTTCAGACACCAAGTATCTAAAAGCATCTTTTGAAGAGAGTGGTTTTATTCACTAATTCTATTTTAACAGGGTATGTAAAGATAAGATTTACTGGTCGTTACCGTTTTGGCTAAGTGTAGCAAGTTTGGTCCTTTTCAAATTAATTCTAGACCCACCCACAAAGAAACTTTAAATGCAGTCTGACTGCTATAATGCACCACCAATTATTAGACAAAATTTTTCAGTGGTCTCTGGGTATATCATCAGTATCTGGCCACTTCATGTTTTCTTTCTCTTTACTCACAGTGATGAAAGACAGGCTTGCCGGTCTCATCCTTGCTGATCGCTAGATCAACATACCTCCAAAGAGAGCGGGTGGAAAGCTATCGGTCTAGGACTAGAGATTGCTGCCTATGCTGGATATGTCTGCAGTGGTGTGCCACATGGAGCTGGCTGAGTCCACAAGCATTAAGCCTAATGAGAGATAAAGAGTAACTGAGCTAGGTGCAGATCTGCACTACCGCAGCTGGACTGCTTCTGGGATCCCTGTTAGATTTTCTGTATGACACTACCCATGCACACAAAAATACACAGTTGATTCTAAGCCAGGCCAGTTATGTCTGTGTGTTTCATTAAAGGGTAGGCAGAGTCCTTCGGTCCTGCTTTAACAGTTCTCAGGTTTATTAAACACAGTTTAAGAAGTTTGTCCCTCGACAGGAAATTCATGCCAAAGGTCTCAGAGATGCAAAACACCGTTTGGTAGGGGCAATAACACCGCCATTTAAATATATTGTTACTTGTATTATTAAGCCAGTATATTAGCAGGAAATATGTAAGTTTTTACATGGGAATACAATGATCAAAGATGCTAATTGCATAATGAATAAAGAAGTAGGTAGCAAACACTCAAGGATCTGGAAACAAGAGAATCCCCTGGATAAAAGGCATTCAGTTAATCAGAGTATCTGAGTTGTATTCTCAACCCAAATACTTCTTTTCTTCTTATTTGTATATAATAATCTTTTCTGGGAAACAAAAGAAAGACTAGTGTCTTCACTAGGATTTTCCTTTGCTTAAGGAAGTGTGCATCAGGCAAGACTTGGCAACCAAGACGAAGAAAAGTCCTAGTAAAGATGGTATGAACTGTATTTTTCATGAGCAATATGTTAGGTTTAGGCAGACATCAGCCTGATCTAACACGAAGTTGTATGTAACTGCATCACGCGTTACAGAAACACATTCTGTGCCTTCTGATGCTCAGGTGAACTAAAACCCAGTACTAATGCTGCCCTAGCCTGACTGCTCTCTTTCTACCCAATGGTAGACTCCAGGCTCTCTACAGTTTCTAACTCTGCTTGCTAAGTCATGTTAAAACTAGAGACTACTTTGTCTTCACTTGAACTTTACATCCTGTTAGTTTGCATAAAGGAAGTAAGTTAACAGCACACCTATTTTTTCCTAGTGAAGATGTTCTCTGTTGTGTATTATCACCATTCAGATACTTATTTAGACACGCAGTCAAAGGCTACGACTAGCTGCACAGCATATAATGATTTTTTAAAGGAAAGAAAACGCCATTAAAACAAAAGGCCCTGTTCTGCTTCTGGGTAAACAAATGGGAGTTTTACAAAGGAAAGGGATTAACATGCTCCAACATTGTAATGGTCTCAACTGCTCACATTAAAATTTTCACATTAAACCATGACAGAGGTAGGAAAGAAGTCAATTTTCAGTGGCTCATGCTGTTCTGCTGTCATAAATTGCCATTTTTTAGGTAGTATATCCACCAACCTGTATAATGATAGAATAATAAAACCGTAACCCGGTGTTGATTAAGCTTGGCCTTTTGCATGCTAATTTTAGGCTGCTCTACCAAAATAATTGAATGCACCACCTTATTTACATGCTTCTAGATATTTGGCACCTTCTCACTAATCTTTCTTCACCAACTTTGCTTACGCCTGCGGTGTTGGCCTTCCCTTCCTGTGTAGTGTATGCTGTTCAACACCACTTCTCCTGGTTCCTCAGTTATACTCGGGATATCTTTCCACCACTTACACCCATCCTTTTCCAGGGCTCTCACGTCAAGGGTAATGCTACATGTCAGTCAATCTTTATCCTGCCCATCTATGTTTTCTTGCACGTTGCATACAACACTTCATTACCTTCATGCTCTCTACAGTCTATGAAGACCAGCAACTTTCCTTGACTAGAAAATGATAGCATGAAGCACTACCCAATCGTCCCAGTAAGGCTGGAGAAGACAAGTAAATACAGACTCTCACTGGTTGATGCCTGCCAGTGATTTCGCATAACATGTGTTACACAGTGAGTTTACAAAACAGTGACCAAAAAGGAGGGAAGGACAGGCCACAGTGTGCCACAGTACCAGACCCCCCGGGGAGAAAGCTCTGCTCTATGTTACTGTAGCAGCACCAAAAATGAATGTTTTAATACAATGGGGTGCTTATCTGTCTGCCAAATGCCCACGATGCCTTTCCACCTCAGTTGCATCATGGCAGCGTAAAACAAAAAATGACAAAGGACTGGGAAAGAAAGTCAACACGGTCGAAGACAAAATAAAGCTGGAGGCCCAGCACTCGCCACGCCTGCGTACGGGCGGTGGGGTCTGTGCGGGGTGCTGGCGGCCACCCCTCAAAGCCAGGCCTCGCTTCACCTCACCCAACCTCTCCGCACCAAGCCGTGCCTCCTGCTCCCGCCGGCCGGCTCCCCTCGCACCCGCCACCCCGGGGACAACCGCAGCCTGGCTCCGGGCCCTGCGGGACGGCCAGGCCTCGCCCCCTCCTGGCCCGGCGCTGCCCCGGGCCCTGCCCCTGCCCCGCACAGCTCCCCCGGCCCGGCCCTAAGCCGCGTCCCAACGCCCGGGCCCTGGGCCGCGCTGGGCCGGGGGAGGCGGCCGCCCTGCCCTGCCCGGCCCGGGCCGGCCCCAGGCGCCGGCCGTGGGGGGCGGCGGGGGCCCCGCTGCCCCGCGAGGGAGCCGGGGGGCCGGGGCGAGGGAGGGCGTAGAATAAACAGCATCGTTGTCACGCAGGCAGAGCCGCCGGCTCCCCAAGCCTCCTCCCCGCGATAACAACCCAGGTACAGCCCGCGCTCGCCCCCCTCCTTCCCTCCTCCTCCTCCTCCTCCTCCTCCTCCTCCCGGGGGGCCGGGGAGAAATCTGCAGATCAAAGAAAAGATGCACAATAATAACGGGGTGGGCGCGCACCGCGGCCCCCCGCCCGGCGGGCCCGGGGCCGGGGCCTCCGGCAGAGGCTCGCCGCGGCCCGGCCGCTGGCCGCCCGGCAGGAGGGCGAGGGGGGCGGCGGCGGCGCGGGGCCGGGCGCCCCCGCCGCGGTTACTCACCCGGGCCGGCCAGTGCGGGTACCCCTTCATTTTGGCGAACACCAGGTCTCCAGCCTTGTATTCTCGGGGCCGCGGACGAGCCATCGGGAGCCGCCGCGGGAGCCGCCGTGTGTCCCCCCGCCCTCCCACACCCCTCGCCCCGCACACGCCGCCCCGGGGGCAACCGGGCGAGCCCCCGCGGGGTGCGATGCGCCCGGGCACGGGGCGCAGCCGGGAGCGGGGCCGGGCCGCGGGCAATCCCCGATCTCTCCGGCGGCGGCGGCGGCAGGAGGAGATGGGGTGTGTGTGTGTGAGTGTGTGTGTGTGTGAGTGTGTGTGTGTGTGTGAGTGAGTGTGAGTGTGTGTGAGTGTGTACGCGGGGGAGGGGGAGGCCTTGGACACAACCCCAGCAGCCCCCGGTAGCAGGGAGCCGGCTGGCGGCGGGGCGCCTGGCCGGGCGGGGGCGGCCGGGGAGCCCTCACCCCGCGGCGGCGGGCGGGCGCGGCGCTGCCCGCGGCCCCCCCGTGCGAGCTGGCTACGCCGCCCGCGCCGCCCGCTCCATCCCCGCCGCAGCCGCCGCGGCCCCGGGAATATGGAGCCGTCTCCTCCGAATTACTCCTCGGGCAGCGACCGAAAACAGGATCTTCTTATCCCCCCCCCGCCCGCGCCTCCCCCCCGCGCTTTCCCTTCCTGTTATTTTCTAGGTACACAGATCGGTTTCTATGAAAATAGGAGAGCAGAGAGCGGCTCCAGTCCCTCCCGGCCCTTCCTTCCCAGCTGAAGCATGACATGGTTCTTTATGCGCGCCCGACATGGAGGCTGGGCGACCAGGAGAAGCCGGCTGAGCCCGGCTGTTTTTTACAGCAGGGCCCCCGGGTTCCCCCGGCCAGTGGCTCCCAGCCCTCAGTCCTTGGGGGTGCCGTGCCGCCCCCCACGCCCCCCGCCATGGAGGCCCAGGCCCCAGCACAGAGCAGCTCCCCGGGATGCCTCGGCCCCCCCGGGGGGCTGGTGCACACCCTGCCCGCCGGCCTCCCCCGCAGCGCGGCTGCTGCCCCCACGGGGTGCCTGCAGGCCTTACCCCCTCCCCCGGCAACCAAACACCCAGCCCCGAGCCGGCCCCTGGGCACAGGCCTGGCTCCTGGGGACTGGGATTTCCTGATTCCTGTACCCAGCCTCTTCCCTGCTGCCAACCCCTCCACCTTCCTTCTCGGCCTAAAAACGCAAATAAAACCACACAGCCACAAAGACCTGGACCTGGGATCTGCTTAAATTCACAACAGGGGCTTCTCCTCAGAGGGCGTTTGGGACCTGGCTCTTGCCAGATGATGCCAGTTTTTACAAACATGGACCTCTGTGGAAGGGAAGCACTGGGAACTCACAAATCCAAAGCCCAGATACTGCTGTTTTTACCATAATGCTACTGGTTAAAGTCTAAAGGTCAGAAATCAATTGACACTTACTATACCTAAGTATTGTCTAGAGGAGCAAAGCTAGGAAGGCACCTGCAAGCTGGGCCACAAGTGGAAAAGTTTAGGAAAGGTTTTTCTTCAGGTTTGACTGAAACTGTAGCAGTGGGTTCCCAACTGTTCCCACATGCAGGATGGCAACTATCCCCATAGGGTCTAGGGAGATGGCTCTGGCTGGGTGCTTCTCTGAGGTCCGAGGAAAGCACCTGGCAGTTCCCATTGATGAAGAAGGAAATAGGTGGCTGAAGACTGTAGGGTCACATTTTGGGGTGGAAGTAGATGGACCATAGAGAGCACTACCTGTCTGTAAGGGCTGGTAATGGCAGAGAAAGAAGAGGAAGAAACACTGCTTCTAGCACCTGTTCATGGGCTGGAACAGGACCAAGAAGACTCTTACTGTTTATGGTGTCCCCAGATGTGGTTCTGGTACCCAGATGTTGCTATTGGTAGTACATGAGTCAATGAAGTTTGTCACTCTGGGTCATAAAATAGGATAAGCACTTCTCTGCTGGGGGAAGCACTGCTGTAAAATCATTAGCTCAGGTATCAGTAGCAGACTAACAATGGAAAAAAAAAATCCAGGAAGCTGGATAAACATTTAGATGATTAGCCTGCACTGTGCTCAATGCTGTTATCTGTTCCTGAAGTACTGAGATCAGTGACAGGGTTGCCAACGCAGCCACCTTCGGTATAGACATGTGGCCAAACAGCTCACTTTCACTTTCACATCAGATAGGATGTTGCATCCTTTTAAATTGATACCTCAGTGCAGTTTAAATTCCCTTCAGGAAAATGTAATATAAAATCTCTGAATATAGGAGCTGTAGACTCTGATTTGAGTCTGTCCAGAATAATCCTATGTGCTGTGTCTTACCTCCCATACCTCTATTATCTTTCCAAACCAGGCTTATCTCCAGAATACTTACTAGACAGGTGGAGCTGCTTTTTTTGTTTTTTTTTTTTTTTAAATACTTTATTTGCTTTTCATCTCAGATATGAATAGCTCTTTCTAGTAACTTATTTAGTGACCTTGAATCAGAAAGAAGCAGGATGTATGCCAATTTCTTCCAAAAGGAAACTGTACACATATACACATCCATGGAACAATGTATTGCTAATGTCAGAACAGCAAAATTCGTAATGTCTAGATGCTGAACTGAAACATCTAATCGGAATGTCCACTTTTTTAACTTCCTTTTATCCCAGCATTGGTGTCTGCAGAGAATGCAGTGAAAGAATAATGTTTCTAGTCTGCAGTGAAGATAATCACATAATAGAGCTCCAAAGAAAACTCATTCCATGGACATGCAAGGATGCAGCTCTCTTTTTCTCTTGTGTGTAGGCTACAAAGGATAAATGAGTTGCCAAGGTAAGAACTCCACTCAGGTTTGGCTAGCTGAAAACTCTTAAACACACTTTGCAGACAGTTCTTCCATCAAGCCATGGTTAAGATGCTGGGAAGAGGATGGGGAAGAAAAAAGCAAATTTCCCTGCTGATAAATGAAAAACCAAATCAAATGTTCCACACATTAACAGCACAGAAAACCGTCTCAGCACCAACAGCAAAGGAGTTCCTTAGAGTACGTAACCTACTCAGCTGCTCATCACAACATACAAACCCTGAGATCTCCTGCTATGTCACATGTATTCTGTTCCTTTCTCTTCTGTTACAAAGGGGAGTTCATCTACCCCTTCTACACAGAAGTGGGAAGGAGGAGCAAAGAGAGTTTCTTCCAAATCAAGAGCAGTTTCAGATCATAACCATGAATGGAGGGGTGCAGAGGCTTGCTCATAGATACACCACTTGTATATAGTCCATGGCCTAGGTCTACAGAAGTCAACAGCAGAGTCTGCTTTGGGCAGAGACAAAGATCAGCAGGTCACAGAGGCAGCAACACCATGTCCTTACTGAGGAAGGGAGACCTGCAGCAGGGATGGCTCTCTCCTCCCCCCTAAGCTCCCCTAAGACCAAGTTCCCTTTCATTTCTCATCCTGCCAGACAGGTGTTATAGTTCCAGAACAGGGCAGTATATACAAGTGCAAGGAGGGGAAGGTTGTAAAGGCAGAGAGGTGGCAGGCCCAGGAGTGGGAGTAGTGAAACCGTGAGGCACTCAGGACAGGTAGTGTCTGAGGTAACTGTTTTAAGGTATTACTACACTACTGAATTTTGCTTTCCCAACAATTCCAAGGAAACGGTATTCTTAAGCTATTGAGAATCTTTAAGCCAGTCCTGATCATTTCCCCCCTATTCATATGAGGATAAAAATAGCTATATTCCTGGTTGATAACTTTCAGAGAGGAAGAATTCCATTAATTCAGAAGTGTGGATCAATCTTTAAGAAAGGAGCATGTGGACATAAAAGGCTCAATTTCAAAAGCACCCTCCAAAGTAATGAGTAAATTTTTAAGTGTAAGTTTTGCATTAAATACTCCACAATTATAGGTGTGTACACATATACCAGACATTTGTATGCAAACTGTCTTGTATGCAGACCCTATTCATGCTGCTATCTTACACTTGCCATTTTGTGAGATGCTGCCTAATACTGTAATCTGTAGAAGCCACAGAGATTATTATGGTGTTTGCCTCTGAAATTCTGTCCCTGGCCACCTTACAATTTTTGCTTTCCCCACTCAAATCCCTTGTGAGATCAGACTATAAATGCTCTGCAGCATGGCCACTTGTATAATCAACTTTACTGTAAGATACCGAAAGAAAATTATTTCTTTTTACTTATCTATCTATCTATAGCCGATATAATTTTCTTTCCTTCTGCATTTCCTTTTCCTGTATGTAAAAATGTGTCAGCAGTGATTATGATGATTAGTATTTTGCCTGTGTCCACAGTAAGCTAGTGCTTGTCTGTTAAATATTTTAATAGGAAATTGTTCTGAGTCACAACTGAGGCATTCCCCTGTGCAAGACATGTCTGAGAGCACTGTCTGAAATCACAGAGCTACTTCATGTCAGGCATAAAGAGGCCATGATGTTCTATGTCCATCCTAACATGCACATAAAGGCACTTACCATGCCCATTAGGATATTCTTAATTACTGAAGATAAACAGCTCACCAGGGGATCCCAAGCCTTCTCTGTAATAAGCTTAGAAGGGAGAAGGGTGTGTATCATAGCTGGAGCAAGTTATCTACACTCAGTTTCATGAATCTTCTTATGTTATACACTGGAGCAATCTCCTAATCATATTAGATTAGACAATCTTTAAGGTGATTGCTTTACATGTTGCAGAGGTGTGAATGCGTATCCTAAAGGCAGAAAAGATCGGAGCACTTCAGTTAAAATTAACTTCCTGTCTGGTTGGGAGCTTTCCAATATTAGCTGAAAAGGTTTGTATGGGATGGAAAAGTTACTAGCAAGTATGCACTGCTGCCTTTCCTTGTTCTCTACAGGCGTTTCAGCTAAAGCTACAGCAGACAAAAGATGCCTACAGTCAATGCTGGTTAACAATTTCCAATTCAAACCGTTGTTTTCAGTTGCTTCTCTATGTTTAATAACTTAACCATTAGAATTGAAATTTTCCATGATGATTGTGTGGCTAAATATCAAAGCTCTTCTGACAATGACAGTAGAAGAAATAATGGTAAAATTACCAAATTACCAGGTACCATATAAATGTAGCCAAGTTGCAAGAGTCTGAAAATCATTCATACACGCTCGGTAGGGGTTGATAAACAAACCTCAGATGTTCTGTCTGGACTAAACATGCTCTAGGCTAAAGTGAATGTGATTCAGCTCATGACTGGAGATGACTGTGGAAGCAAAACTTGTGAGAGGAAAAGGTGGCTGTCTCCCTGTGAGTACCTAGACAGTATACCAGGGTGAAGTGACCAGACCAGCATGCGGAGAGAGAACTGGGAAAAGCTGGAAGCGGAGCACGAGCTAAAGCCTGGGAAGGATGTGAGAAAAGCAGAAAGGGATTAGGAGACAGAGGTAAAAGCAGCTGTGAGTGTAAGAAGACAAAGATTTCAGAATATCTTAGAATACATCTAGAAACTCCACACATTAAGAAAATTCTGTGGCCCAGTATGTCTCATTCTCTGCTGGTAGCTTCTCCATACAAAGACTAATAATCCGTTACTATGCTGCCAATTAACTTATCAGTTTATGTGGAAATCTTGACACTGCATTCAAAGGTATTGGACTCTATGACCTACTAGAGGTCTAAGTGGTAACCAGCCTGAGATTTTCTATTGGGGGAAGAACCCAAACAAATCAATCCAGAAAAAGGTTATTGAAAATTGTATCACAAACCACCCAAGAAGACAACAGAACTAAAGTTGCACCAGCAACCTAAACACAAGTATTTCCCAAAATTGGACTATCTGACTTTGCAACTTCAGTGTTCTTTGAATTTTCCCTTATGTCATGTGAGATGCTTTAGCAGCCATTTGTTGAGAAACACTCATCAAAATCTAGTACTTCCATTAACGTGCAGTAAATATTAAACATGATATGAAGATTATCTTGTTGGACATAAGTTGCACAGTCTACTTTGCTGTTCCCACAATTTTAAGTGTTCGGTGGAGACGTCATTAATTACAATTAAACTAATGACTTCCCATCTCCATTTGATATACTAATCTATAAAATGCCTCTTTAAATGGCCAGGTGAGAAACTCCATCTCTAAAGCTATAAGTCATAATACCTAGAAAAGAAAACGTGCAACAGACATTTTTCCTCTGGAGAAGTATTTTAAATGTGTCATCTAAAGCCTTGGAGATTTATTGGGTGAGAAATATGTTGAGAGTTGACAGGAACA